GAAATCTGATTACATGAGTATGATCCACGTCAAATTCGTAATCGCCGTATTAATGGACTCCACTTTGTTCTTTTTCAATTTAATCATAATAATAATCCCGGCTTTTTGGAAAAGGAAAGAATGGTCCAAACTTGTCAAAATATTAACAATATTGCGCTCACTACAAGACAAAAAATCATCACCTGTGTATTTCATTCTCATCCAGATAATTTTCTGGGCTATTACCTTGTACGACACTTACGCATGGACCATGATCATGGAATTCGAATTTCTAAAACAATACGGAATAGAAATCCTACAATCGTTTCTTTTGTTCCACCATCAGTGCTTACTTCACGTCGCTATTAACATAGTTCTTGAAGGCTACAAAGACGTTATCACCAAATTTTACACCATCGAACTATTAAATAAAGAAAGCGCGAAAATAATTAAACACAAATTGGGTTTGCTACAAGTGTGTGTTCGACTCTTCAGTGAAGTGTTCGGCTGGCCTTTTCTTTTAATTATCGTGTACACAAGTTTGCAGATGTTAAATTATTTCGACGATAGTTTTGAAAACGGATTCTTGTACGACGAAAACGAATACGACGAAGTAATTATTTCTAACGTGTGTTTTCTCATAATTACAGTCGTAAGTTTGTACTTTTGTGTCATTCGAAATGATAATTTTGTTCTAGGGTTACACGGTTTTTTTGATATGGTTGTGGGACTCGGTTTTAGCAGAAGTCGACAAGATCCAACACTTTTGCAGAAACGTTACTGAGGAGCTCCAAACGAACTATTTTGTTATTATCAGCAAGGATGTTGTCAATAATTGTCCAAAATTATCAGCGGCTGATTTTGTTTACGTGGATAGAGCGCTTATTTTTAATATGTTTAGCGTCACCTTTACTTTTTTGATAGTCATGATTCAGTTTAAAGACCGTGCTAATTTAAGTAGTTATGAATATTTGAACCAATAATTTTGCATTTTTTTATTTAAATTAGTTAGATAGTTTGAGTTCAGAATCTTCACGATGATGTTAACCTTGTAGTTGCATTTTTCAAGTTTCAACATTATTTGTGGGTTAAAATACGCAATAAAAATATTTTCCACGCTTGAAATGACACAAATATTATTTTATTTAAATTACTGCAGAGTTCATTGCAGTCATTACGTAAACGTGAAAATTAACAGTGCGTACATGTTGTTCTTTGTTAACAGAACAAGAGTATGAATAGATTTTCAAAATTACGTGAATAATTAGAGCGAGTTAATTATGTCCATAGGGAAATTATTTTCGGGATCAGATAAAACCGATACAATTTAATGATTGATTCTAATGACTCTGCGAATTAATTAATGTGTGGACTTTTTAACTTCGGAATAGGCAAGGTTAATAAACCACGGTCAGAACATTCACTGCAAATTTTACTTAAAGTTGGACTTTACAAAGAACAGTTTCAACAACGATGTACTTTCCAAACAAAACACGACAGGGTATACAACATAAACTTGTAAAATTCGGTCGCCTACATTATAAGTTTTTGTTCAAAATATATTGCACTTTTTCTAAATCTAAAAGGCTTCGTCCGAAAATAGTAAATATTATTGTTCCGAATGTAGATCACAACGTATTACTTGGACGAATTTGTCAAATTCATATCGTAGTTCTAAACTACCGAAACAAACTATTAAAAATGTAGAAAATCTAACTAATTTTCTAACTAAATTGGCAACTCCGTCTGACACTAACTAAAGTTAAAGAGTTGATCCAATTTTTTAAGAAACTAATGTGATTTTTTCTTTTACAATTTTCTAAACGAATTAATTTAATGATACATAAGTCTACGCTTCTAAGGAATTTGGCACATTTTCCTGAACGTCTGGATTAGAACAACTTGAGTTTCCATATCGAGATGGGTCTTTGAAAAATCGTGACCTGCCCGTGCTCTTTCCCACCTATGATATAGACATACAAAGGAACGTAGTCTAAGATTCGGTCGAAATCTGTTTCGTCGGACATGGTTTTTTCCACTCGGATTCGTTCCGCTCTACCAGCGCTGTGTGCTCTTCTTTTGGAATCTTTTGGACGTACATTATCTAAGGCTGGAAAGTTGGAAGGATGATTACGCAGCGAACTCCTATAAAGAACTTTGGTATTTCTATTAATAACTCCGTTGTACTCTTGCAGTTCGAGAAGATCTTCCTCCGAGCTTTGAACCCCCAAAGAACTTTGATGCGTCAGCAGTTTAGCGACGTGTTTAATATCAGGACCCATGTAATTCGGGTTGCAAAACCCAAACGGACCATCCTTCTCCCTATTTTTCTGGTTTTCGTCGTGGTTGGTCTTGACACTATAATTACTCGCAGAGGACAGCCGATTCATGGTTTCGATGCTAGCGTAATCCGACGTCGAAGACACGTTTTCTTGTTCGTTCTGCAGCTTCATCATGTGTTGGTAGAGAGGGTTATCGGCGTAGCCCAAATGAGAGTTGTAACTTTCGCCTCGTTTCGGAGGGTTGTTGAAGCTCAAACTTGCCCTTTTACCAACTTGAATAGTGTCATTAGGGTAACTATCATTCATAATTTCGTTTTCGTCATCCGTATCCAAATAAACTAATTTCGTGGCTTCTACTGGTGTCAAAGCCGGAGTTGGTAACGTCAAAGCAGAAAAATTAGGTACTGAGATAGGCTCTCGTGTGATTTTTTTCGTCAAGTCGTTCCTCCTCCTCTCGACTTCCTTCTGCTCGTCGTTATCAATTTGGTACTTCTTTTTTATCCCGTATGCTGACTTGGACTTCACCATTGCGTGCTGCTTCAACAAACTCTCCGTACTATCAGCAATACACCCAGCAAGCACCGTATAGCTACACTTGCTATTCAACCTAGAAATCTGCAATATCTTCGTTATTTCTTGCAGAAACCCTCTCATCGGTTTGTCTTCGCTTGCAATTTGATGCACCACAATGTCTTCAGTAAAATTAGCTTGAGACGGCTGGAAAATCTCCCACTTTTTGTTCAATGAACAAGTCGGTATTGAAAATATTACGAGCCTGACTTCCGCTGACCTGGGTGAAAACCAAATTATCGTGTTCACGTAATGGACACCAATTTGGGTTTTCGCTTACTAATTTTTCTGAATGTCATTTTGTTATTAACTGTGATTTACGTAAAATAACTGTGCAGGACGAGCAATTTTAACTGTTAATTTTCAATGTTTCCCTATTTTTAAATACGTAAAAAAAGTCAGCGTATTTTTCTAGAATTAATGAACAAACTGTGTTACTTAATTCGTCGTTAAACCTGGCTTTCATATGTCGATTTCTCATCCAATAAAGCAGCTGTTGTTTAAGAAACAAACTCTTGTTTTCTAAATTTCGGCCGAAAAAACGTGCCTTGAATATTAATTCCTCGACCGCCTACCACAAAATCGGACAAATTAATTAATTCCCTATCTCTGCATCGTTTAATGGTGAAAAAATAATCAACAATTCGTGCGTTCTTATTATTTGTGTAGCGCTTTTATTTCAAAGTCCCAGTTCAAATTAAAAAGGTCCGTTCCTTGGCCGTCGTGCAGCCGAATATTGGACCGTGTTTTCCCGATTGGTAAATAAGACGGAAAATATTTGGCGTTGGGGGCAAAATTCACCACTTTATAAGACCCCTACAAAACCACAATGACTTTAACTGAACCACCAAACGTCCAAAATACCCACTTTTTCCATGTTACACAAACTTATGTTGAACTGGGCGTCCTCAAACTGTTGCTTAAGCGAAAAAATGTTTGCTTTTTCGATTTTACAAACATCGGCGGTCATTTGAGTCCCAGTGTACCTATATTCGTTGTGGAAAAACTGAAACGCCTTCAAAGTTCCCTAAAACGATCGATTAAGAGTGGGAACAACTAATGTTCAGCTGTTACCAGCAACTTGCGATTGGTAACATCGCGAACGATATCGAAAGACGCGTTGACGGCCAAAAACGTCCTGTTTACTTTCCCAAAATGAAAATATACGTTTTTAATAAATTTGTCGTTGACGTACAACAGCTCCGCTCTTTCAGCCACGAATTCGTAATTCTGAAATTCACTTCGTTATTAGCTGCAATTATATTATTTTTCGCATACTCGGCTTTCTGAAAATTGTATATGTGTGATCAGGCATGGCGCAGCAAAAAGACCACAGATGAAAAATTTGTGTTTCATGTTGTTGCCAAGTCGTAACACTGTTGATTTTTGGCAGAAATTTTTATCGAGGAGTTGTAATTTACTAATTTCCCCCAAAATGATATTTTGCTAATGATTATCACTGCATCATTAAGACCTTACTCGTTGATCATAATGAGCATTTAACTGAGGATGAATGTTTTACTATTTTAAATGTGTTTTTTTCCATGGCATTATAAATGCGATTGTAACACTAAAAATATCATTTTGTTTATTCCCCTAACAAATCGATGACGTCATCTCGCAAAATTATTTAGATGTGCATCCGAAGATTGGAATGCGATCTTGTTACACTTTAGCAATAAGAATTAATTATGTTTTCGTTTCATTTTCGACATCAAGGACGCTCGGTGTTAATAACCTTTCAGACTTGTTTGCAAAATAGAGCCTGAAGAAGAGGACAATCTGCTCGAAACGTTCATAAAGTCGAGAACTTCTATTGATCACTTTTTCTAGAAAGTGTAGATTCTCATTCGACAAAAAACTACTAATAAAAAATTAAGTAGCAACATTTTCACATTTTAGAGAGCATAAAGGTCACTAGATAAATTTTTTATGTGGCAATTTTAATTAAAAGTATTCCAGTGTTGTCTTAAAGAAAACAGACGTAGTTCCTCCGATTTAGTCTTTTTGGGGACACTTTTCAAACTTTCAATTTTGACCACTGTGCTCTTACGATTTGATTTTATTAGCAGTAACTGTACTAGGTTTAATAATGGCCTCGTTACAAAAAAATACTCTACACACACGAGTTATGGTTCAGCTGTTTCGAATACCTTTTTTTTTAGGAAAATGGAATTGTTAGAAATGGTTTTATACATGGGCAATTTACTGGCCACCACTCCCACCAAACCACCAGGAAAAATTTATCCTTCAGTTGTGCTAACTTTTTTCGTGGTGAACGTAGCAGCGGCCACCATTTTCAAGAAATCTGATTACATGAGTATGATCCACGTCAAATTCGTAATCGCCGTATTAATGGACTCCACTTTGTTCATTTTCAATTTAATCGTAATAATAATCCCGGCTTTTTGGAAAAGGAAAGAATGGTCCAAACTTGTCAAAATATTAACAAAATTGCGCTCACTACAAGACAAAAAATCATCATCTGTGTATTTCATTCTCATCCAAATAATTTTCTGGGCTATTACTTTGTACGACACTTACGCATGGACCATGATCATGGAATTCGAATTTCTAAAACAATACGGAGTAGAAATCCTACAATCGTTTCTTTTGTTCCACCACCAGTGCTTACTTCACGTCGCTATTAACATAGTCCTTGACGGCTACAAAGACGTTATCACCAAATTTTACACCATCGAACTATTAAATAAAGAAAGCGCGAAAATAATTAAACACAAATTGGGTTTGCTACAAGTGTGTGTTCGACTCTTCAGTGAAGTGTTCGGCTGGCCTTTTCTTTTAATTATCGTGTACACAAGCTTGCAGATGTTAAATTATTTCGACGATAGTTTTGAAAACGGGTTTTTGTACGACGAAAACGAATACGACGAAGTAATTATTTCTAACGTGTGTTTTCTCATAATTACAGTCATAAGTTTGTACTTTTGTATCATTCGAAATGATAATTTTGTTCTAGGGTTACACGGTTTTTTTGATCTGGTTGTGGGACTCGGTTTTAGCAGAAGTCGACAAGATCCAGCACTTTTGCAGAAACGTTACTGACGTGCTCCAAACGAACTATTTTGTTATTATCAGCAAGGGTATTGTCAATAATTGCCCGAAATTATCAGTGGCTGATTTTTTTTACGTGGATAGAGCGCTTATTTTTAATATGTTTAGCGTCACTTTTACTTTTTTGATAGTCATGATTCAGTTTAAAGAGCGTGCTAATTTAAGTAGTTATGAATATTTGAACCAATAATGTTGCATTTTTTTATTTAAATTAGTTAGATAGTTTGAGTTCAGAATCTTCACGATGATGTTAACCTTGTAGTTGCGTTTTTCACGTTTCAACATTATTTATGGATTAAAATACGCAATAAAAATATTCTCCACGCTTGAAATGACACAAATATTATTTTATTTAAATTACTGCAGAGTTCATTGCAGTCATTACGTAAACGTGAAAATTAACAGTGCGTACATGTTGTTCTTTGTTAACAGAACAAGAGTATGAATAGATTTTCAAAATTACGTGAGTAATTAGAGCGAGTTAATTATGTCCATAGGGAGATCATTTTCGGGATCAGATAAAACCGATACAATTTAGTGATTGATTCTAATGACTCTGCAAATTAATTAGTGTGTGGACTTTTTAACTTCGGGGTGGCAAGGTTAATAAACCACGGTCAGAACATTCACTGCAAATTTTACTTAAAGTTGGACTTTACAAAGAACAGTTTCAACAACGATGTACTTTCCAAACAAAACACGACAGGGTATACAACATAAACTTGTAAAATTCGGTCGCCTACATTATAAGTTTTTGTTCAAAATATATTGCACTTTTTCTAAATCTAAAAGGCTTCGTCCGAAAATAGTAAATATTATTGTTCCGAATGTAGATCACAACGTATTACTTGGACGAATTTGTCAAATTCATATCGTAGTTCTAAACTACCGAAACAAACTATTAAAAATGTAGAAAATCTAACTAATTTTCTAACTAAATTGGCAACTCCGTCTGAAACTAACTAAAGTTAAGAGTTGATCCAATTTTTTAAGAAACTAATGTGATTTTTTCTTTTACAATTTTCTAAACGAATTAATTTAATGATACATAAGTCTACGCTTCTAAGGAATTTGGCACATTTTCCTGAACGTCTGGATTAGAACAACTTGAGTTTCCATATCGAGATGGGTCTTTGAAAAATCGTGACCTGCCCGTGCTCTTTCCCGCCTATGATATAGACATACAAAGGAACGTAGTCTAAGATTCGGTCGAAATCTGTTTCGTCGGACATGGTTTTTTCCACTCGGATTCGTTCCGCTCTACCAGCGCTGTGTGCTCTTCTTTTGGAATCTTTTGGACGTACATTATCTAAGGCTGGAAAGTTGGAAGGATGATTACGTAGCGAACTCCTATAAAGAACTTTGGTATTTCTATTAATAACTCCGTTGTACTCTTGCAGTTCGAGAAGATCTTCCTCCGAGCTTTGAACCCCCAAAGAACTTTGATGCGTCAGCAGTTTAGCAACGTGTTTAATATCAGGACCCATGTAATTCGGGTTGCAAAACCCAAACGGACCATCCTTCTCCCTATTCTTCTGGTTTTCGTCGTGGTTGGTCTTGACACTATAATTACTCGCAGAGGATAGCCGATTCATGGTTTCGATGCTAGCGTAATCCGACGTCGAAGACACGTTTTCTTGTTCGTTCTGCAGCTTCATCATGTGTTGGTAGAGAGGGTTATCGGCGTAGCCCAAATGAGAGTTGTAACTTTCGCCTCGTTTCGGAGGGTTGTTGAAGCTCAAACTTGCCCTTTTACCAACTTGAATAGTGTCATTTGGGTAACTATCATTCATAATTTCGTTTTCGTCATCCGTATCCAAATAAACTAATTTCGTGGCTTCTACTGGTGTCAAAGCCGGAGTTGGTAACGTCAAAGCAGAAAAATTAGGTACTGAGATAGGCTCTCGTGTGATTTTTTTCGTCAAGTCGTTCCTCCTCCTCTCGACTTCCTTCTGCTCGTCGTTATCAATTTGGTACTTCTTTTTTATCACGTATGCTGACTTGGACTTCACCATTGTGCTTCTTGGAGTGATATCAAAGTCGGGTTCTTCAAAGTTTGGCGGAGTGGCGTGCTGCTTCAGCAAACTCTCCGTGCTATCAGTAGTACATCCAGCAAGCACTGTATAGCTACACTTGCTATTCAACCTAGAAATCTGCTATATCTTCGTTATTTTTTACAGAAACCCTTTCATCGGTTTGTCTTTGCTTGCAATCTGATGCACCTCACTACCATCAGTATAATTAGTTTAAGAAAACTGAAAAATCTCCCACTTTTTGTTCAATGAACAGATCGGTATTGAAAATATTACGAGCCTGACGCTCGCTGACCTATGTGAAAACCAAATTATCCTGTTCACGTAATGGACACCAATTTGGGTTTTCGCTTACTAATTTTTCCGAATGTCATTTTGTTATTAACTGTGAGGTACGTAAAATAACTGTGCAGGACGACCAATTTTAACTGTTAATTTTCAATGTTTCCCTATTTTTAAATACGTAAAAAAAGTCAGAGTATTTTTCTAGAATTAATAAACAAACTGTGTTACTTAATTCGTCGTTAAACCTGGCTTTCACATGTTGATTTCTCATCCAATAAAGCAGCTGTTGTTTAAGAAACAAACTCTTATTTTCTAAATTTCGGCTGAAAAAACGTGCCTTGAATATTATTCCTCGACCGCCTACCACAAAATTGGACAAATTAATTAATTCACTATCTCTGCATCGTTTAATCGTGAAAAAATAATTAACAATTCGTGCGTTCTTGTTATTTGTGCAGCGCTTTTATTTCAAAGTCCCAGTTCAAATTAAAAAGGTCCGTTCCTTGGCCGTCGTGCAGCCGAATATTGGACCGTGTTTTCCCGATTGGTAAATAAGACGGAAAATATTTGGCGTTGGGGGCAAAATTCACCACTTTATAAGACCCCTACAAAACCGCAATGACTTTAATTGAAGCTACCAAACGTCCAAAATACCCACTTTTTTCATATTACACAAACTTATGTTGAACTGGGCATCTTCAAACTGTTGCTTAAGCGAAAAAATGTTTGCTTTTTCGATTTTACAAACATCGGCGGTCATTTGAGTCCCAGTGTACCTATATTCGTTGTGGAAAAACTGAAACGCCTTCAAAGTTCCCTAAAACGATCGATTAAAAGAGCGAACAACTAATGTTCAGCTGTTACCAGCAACTTGCGATTGGTAACATCGCGAACGATATCGAAAGACGTGTTGACGGCCAAAAACGTCCTGTTAACTTTCCCAAAATGAAAATATACGTTTTTAATAAATTTGTCGTTGACGTACAACAGCTCCGCTTTTTCATCCACGAATTCGTAATTCTGAAAATTCACTTCGTTATTAGCTGAAATTATATTATTTTTCGCATACTCTGCTTTCTGAAAATTGTATATGTTTGATCAGGCATAGCGCAGCAAAAAGACCACAGATGAAAAAGTTGTGTCTCATGTTGTTGCCAAGTCGTTACACTGTTGATTTTTGGCAGAAATTTTTATCGACGATTTGTAATTTACTAATTTCCGCCAAAATGATATTTTGCTAATGATTATCACTGCATCATTAAGACCTTACTCGTAGATCATAATGAGCATTTAACTGAGGATGAATGTTTTACTATTTTAAATGTGTTTTTTTCAATGGCATTATAAATGCGATTGTAACACTAAAAATATCATTTTGTTTATTCCCCTAACAAATCGATGACGTCATCTGGCAAAATTATTTAGATGTGCATCCGAAGATTGGAATGCAATTTTGTTGCACTTTAGCAGTTTTCTATATTATGTTTTCGTTTCATTTTCGATATCAAGGACGCTCGGTGTTAATAACTTTTCAGACTTGTTTGTAAAATAGAGCCTGAAGAAGAAGACAATCTGCTCGAAACATTCATAAAGTCGAGAACTTCTATTGATCACTTATTCTAGAAAGTGTAGATTCTCATTCGACAAAAAACTACTAATAAAAAATTAAGTAGCACACTTTTCACATTTTAGAGAGCATAAAGGTCACTAGATCAATTTTTTATGTGGCAATTCTAATTAAAAGTATTCCAGTCTTGTCTTAAAGAAAACAGACGTAGTTCCTCCGATTTAGTCTTTTTGGGGACACTTTTCAAACTTTCAATTTTGACCACTGTGGTCTTACGATTTGATTTTATTAGCAGTAACTGTACTAGGTTTAATAATGGCCTCGTTACAAAAAAATACTCTACACGCGAGTTATGGATCAGCTGTTTCGAATACCTTTTTTTTTTAGGAAAATGGAATTGTTAGAAATGGTTTTGTACATGGGCAATTTACTGGCCACCACTCCCACCAAACCACCGGGAAAAATTTATCCTTCAGTTGTGCTAACTTTTTTCGTGGTGAACGTAGCAGCGGCCACCATTTTCAAGAAATCTGATTACATGAGTATGATCCACGTCAAATTCGTAATCGCCGTATTAATATATGGACTCCACTTTGTTCTTTTTCAATTTAATCGTAATAATAATCCCGGCTTTTTGGAAAAGGAAAGAATGGTCCAAACTTGTCAAAATATTAACAATATTGCGCTCTCTACAAGACAAAAAGTCATCACCTGTGTATTTCATTCTCATCCAGATAATTTTCTGGGCTATTACTTTGTACGACACTTACGCATGGACCATGATTATGGAATTCGAATTTCTAAAACAATACGGAGTAGAAATCCTACAATCGTTTCTTTTGTTCCACCACCAGTGCTTACTTCACGTCGCTATTAACATAGTCCTTGACGGCTACAAAGACGTTATCACCAAATTTTACACCATCGAACTGTTAAATAAAGAAAGCGCGAAAATAATTAAACACAAATTGGGTTTGCTGCAAGTGTGTGTTCGACTCTTCAGTGAAGTGTTCGGCTGGCCTTTTCTTTTAATTATCGTGTACACGAGTTTGCAGATGTTAAATTATTTCGACGATAGTTTTGAAAGCGGATTCTTGTACGACGAAAACGAATACGACGAAGTAATTATTTCTAACGTGTGTTTTCTCATAATTACAGTCGTAAGTTTGTACTTTTGTGTCATTCGAAATGATAATTTTGTTCTAGGGTTACACGGTTTTTTTGATCTGGTTGTGGGACTCGGTTTTAGCAGAAGTCGACAAGATCAAGCACTTTTGCAGAAACGTTAGTGACGAGCTCCAAACA